ATGTGCAACGTTTTGCTTGACACAACGTGATAAATTAAGATCGGCCGCCGCCCGTTTCATCTCCATCACCGAGGAACGGGCGAGTGTGGTGGCACCGCCGAGTTCCTGCCCTACCAACTCGGCATCCTTTTCGGAAATGAAAAAGCACTGTCGCGCTGCGTGGAGGAAGGCCGGATAATGACTCTCGCAAAGTTTCTCCACTTGGCCCTCATTTTCCTTTATAAACGCTGCAAGATCCCCCTGTAGAATATCCTCCTCATTGCGAATGTATGCATTCTTCAACGCGGTATAATCCGTAAACTCTCCATCCACCAGTGACGCCACAGCAAGGTACCTTGACGGGGCCTTTTGAAACAGGCTGCTTGTTTCTCCCTCTCGTGGCCGCTGCGGGAGAAGTTGTTGTTGTTTTTGTCCCCATAGGGGTCCAGTGGAATCGTCGCTACCTTCGCTTTCTGCACCACTCCATTCATCTTCTTTTTCATTCGCTTCCTGCGCCCCATTTTGTGCAGGATGACTCTCATAATTTTTCAACTGTTCCGTGCGCCACCGTGCGTCCGCGGCGAGTTTCTGAAGCCACCGCTCCGTGTTTGTCGCCTGCAGCACAGAGGCACACTCCAGTTGCACCGTCTTGAACTCCACGTCCCTGCTAATTTCCTCAGAGACTGCAGTCTGGGTAAACGTCTGCAGCTGCTGCCCCTGCGACAAATCCAAAGTTCCAATGGAAATTATGTTTTGTGTAGAGCTGACGGCCAGTAGTTTGTTGGGCCATCTGGTGTAAAGGGAAATTCCCTTCGCCTTGATCAGATACACATGGTATGGCGTTGAGACAATAAGCACCTTCTTCCGTCTACCGTGGCGATGAATGTGTAGGGGCTCTTTCGTATAGTAGAGGATATGTGGGCTGTCATCCATGTCACGCAAAATCTCTTGTATCTTCTCATTTTCTTTGGTTTCTGTTTCTAATTCCATGCTTCTCTCAGTCCTCCTGTACGGCGGCCCCTCCACCTCAGACACGCAAAGAGTGCTGCTTCAGAAAAAGCCAAAAGAAAAAAAAAAGGATAAAGATATGTGAAAAACAGTACACCATGATGAAGATAAGACACATCACCAACGCCCAATTTCCATCCCGTGCGTCAACTCCTTTTCCGTTAGTTTGTTTTTTCCCCTCTTTCCGTGTTTATTTGCTCACGCGGGTCTTTTTTTTTTTTTTTTTTGAAAGCATTTCGCCATTTTCCACTCACTGCTTTCGCGCAGCACGTGTACAAATATAGAAATACGCGCCTTTGAAATAAAAAAACTCCAAATTTCAGCTACAAAAATGCATTTATTTATTGTTGATGCGCACCAAGAGGGAAGAAGAGAAGAAAAAAGAAACAACAAAGGGGTGATGTTACAACACCGGTTTCTTCTTCGCTCGCTTAAGAAAGGGGAAACAGCAGGAAAAGCGGCGTCCCGATGAACACGGTCCGCAGCACGCAGAGGAACGTTCCGTCTTACTCTCTCTTCCAGTTGGCGGCATGTCGGGAAATGGAAGGTCCGGTGGGAGAGGGAACTCTACAATAAGGTCCTCTGCAGCCAAGCCAAATTCCTGCGGCTCAGCAAGGGACACCTGGACAGTTGCATCCCTGACTACGGGTGACCAATCTCTGGGTGCCGACTCGACCTGCACGGACTTCAACGGTGACTCCCAGTCCCCACAGAGAAGGTTTTTAAACTCGGTATGGTGCAGCACACGAGAATTGGGCAAGTACCATGCCGTCGTGCGAACCACGGGCGTGGCACATTGAAATCCAGAATCAAAATTCAATTCTCTTGAGGTCTTGCAACGTTCGTTGCTCTCTAATAGGCCCATCATTTCGGCGCTGCCTTCCGGAATAGTTGAAAGGGTCCTCATCTGCACACGTGCAGGAGGACCATGTAAGTCAGTAACACTTTTGGGTGGAGGGCTAAACTCCACAGGGGGTGCGACTCCAACCTCATGTGTAGGGTCATTTGCATTCTTGTTCTCACCGTGTGAAGATTTATCGCTCCTCGTCTCGTTGCTCGGGCGTTGCGCTTCGGAGCCCTTCTTTGAATTCCCCGATGATCCCATCGCTACCTCATTCATTTCCTTCTCTCCATTCAAAGCCGACTCCGACAATTGTTTCTGCTGGATTCGGGAGCCACTAGAACGGCTGCCCGTACGTGACGATGCCCCGCTTGCGCGCGTCAAGGTCAGGCTGGAGGTCGATGACGCTGCATCCATTAAAGTCTGCACACATTTCGTAACCGTCTCGTCACGTTCAATTGTGAGGGGCCTTCCCCCGGTGGCATCCTCCGTTGCAGGCTCCGTTTGCACCGCCACATCCAAGCTATTTGCGACTTGCAGCTCAGGGATTTGTCGGAGCTGCGGTTCCTGTTCCTGCTGCTGCTGCATAAAATAAGACAGTACATTTTCAGGGTTCCACGGCGAGTACAGAGGTTGAACGCGCAGGACAGGAGACACGGTGCGTTGCACTCGTGGAACCTTGCAACATTGCACCTGGATGGAAATTCCATTCGAGGAAGTTTTAAGAAACGTCCCACCAAAGGCACGACCGCCGACGTACGCACTAACGCGATTCATTCCATCAATCACATCCGCTGGATTATGGACAACGTAGTCATCTAACCTGTTCACATCTTCACGCTGAAAGGAGGAATCTCGCAACACGGCGGGGTTTGAGCCCCGCAATTCATCGTCCTGATCAACAAGCAGTGGCGCAAGACTCTCTTGAAGGTTCCACGCCAAATTTGCCTTCTGACTCGCCAGCGCCAACTCCCTCTCGTTCAACTCACGCTCCTTGTGGAAGACACCCCCAACCGGCAAAGTTGGTGCGCCGCCGCGATCGATCTCCCCACCATCCATCACGGGCTCGCCCGGCAAAGCCGGCAGTCCTTCACTCCGCACTGAGCAGGCCCGCGCAGACCCTTCAATGTCGCTAAAAGGCTCCGAAACGTCGCACTGTGGCACCCCTCGCAAATTTGATTGCGATGGGGACAAAAGGCGTCGTTTGCGCTGCATCCGCAGCAAACTCGTGAACCACGCCGGCTGCCTCGTGTAATCCTCAACAAATTTCTCCCACCACACGTACAAACGATGTAGAGGAGGAGGGAAAAAGACAAAAAAAAAAGACAGCAAAATATATACTCCCCCTTCTCCTTTTCCTTCGCCCCACCCTCCCCTTCTCTCCCTACACGTGTCTTTGGCGGCGCGGGTGCTTCAAATCATGGCGCAAGAAAGAAGAAAAAGAAGAAAACACGTTAAGCTGAAGAACAGGAGATACACAAAATAAAGAGTCACCAATAAATTATCAAAAAAATAAAAAACAAAGACGATGAAAACGTCAAAAATAAGAAAATAAATGAGTAACCGTCAAGAACAAAGAGAAAAAAAAAAAAAAGTACGCCGAGCATGCAAGCACAAATTAGACAAAACATTTATACGCACATGTGTGTGTCTGTGTCTGCATTCAAAAACAAATGGCAGATCAGTGTGTCTCACCATCCAAAGCGACTCATAAAGTGTTCTCCTGTTCATGTGTCAAAAATGGGGAACAATAAGGAAGAGCGTAGATAACACTCCATTCCAAACATGTGCCCATATCTATAGATATAGATAGTTAAATAGATAAATATTTAGATATTTAGATAGATTGATTGATTGATTGATGTAAGCCAATCCCGCCCCAAGCAGATGACAAAAACCTGTATCCTCTTATTCGACTATCATTTTCTTTTCATTCTGTTTTTGGTATCATTTGTATCTTCTTTTCTCCTATTTTCCCTCCCTACGAAGGAACATCCGCTTCCATCCAAATGCGGGCACGGAAGGTCTTGTACAAATCCCGTACAAGTGTCCTAAAGTCCAATCGATGCTGCGATCGGTAGTAAAATGTGAGCTTCTTTCTGTCAAACTGGTATTCGGCATCGACGATGCACATCGGAAGGCCGTGCTCCTCCACCTTCTTCTGCGCCACCTCCACCGCCCGCTCCTCCAGCTCCGTCTGAACACCTTGCAGTTGCGAGACCTCCAACGCGCTGGCCACACGAAGCACTCGGCCCACGCCTTCCCCCCATTTCTTCTCACCGTTGTGGTCCCGTTCGCCAAGCGTCCATGAATGCGTGACGAGCCCAATGTCCTCCCCACGATCACCACCGACGACAACGTACTCGCCGGGAGCAACGTACGTCTGGGATTCAAACTGAAGAACGCGCTTGCGCTTGAACACCACAAGCACCTGACACGGCACAGAACGATCCTTCGGTGGTGAGCGACTACGCCTCTCCTCCGGAATGGAGTCCAGCGTTGGCCGCTTGCGTGAATCGGCCTCCGACTCAGCCCCCGGGCAGTTCTGCCACGCCACCGAATTATCCCCGCTCACTTCGGTGAGGAGGTGATCATAGTTGAGTGTCGCACGGTTCACTGGCGGCGAGGCCATTGACGGCGATGCCAACATCGCTTCATCGTTAACATAATTTGGTCGACTTGGCGTCGTTAGCAACGCGTCAATCATGACAGGGCCAGTCTCCTCGTGGCGGGAGCTCGCGCCGGCATTAAGCAGGCTTGCCAGCTGATCAAAGTGCTGCGTGAAGGTACTGCGAGCTGCATGCAGTTGGGTGATGTGCCTGAAGTAGTACTCATCCACTAGCCGACGTGTCTCTTCAATTTCATTCAATATTGCCGCACTCATTGTCAATTTACTCTCACTCAGTTCCCTCTGTATTTCTTGTTGTTTTCTTGTAGGATCACCTTTAGAAGTCTCACAGCCTCCTTCTCTCTTTGCTTCTTTTTTTTTTTGGCGTCAAACGCGTGCCCACGTACTCTCTTTCTGCGGGGCCCGTGTTCTCAATTTTCGGAAATAAAATCTATCTTCTCTAAATTTCTGTTCTGCGCAACAACGGAGCAAACACAAGCAACAACAACAGCAAAAAGAGGGTTCTGCGGAAAATAACACACACAGAGAGAGAAATATACATATATATATATATATATATATGTGGCAATTTAACGCCCCGCGCTTAAATCGGCTCGCCACATTTTTTTTTTTTATTGTTGTTCTCTTTTCTCACCTTTTGCCTCCTCCACCGCCACCACCATCTTAAGTCTGGACAAGAAGAAGACGCGAGTGAATGGATGCGGGGAAGCACACAAACACTCACCATACAACAAGCGGATCCTTGTCCTCTGCGGAAACAATGATACGCACGCCCTTCTCAAGCTTTTGCTGCAGCTTTGGGAGCAGCTCCTTCTCCAGGTACCCCCGCTCCGTGTTGGTGTGTTCGCACAGAATGACGGCCTGCCCCTTGGCGTTGGCGGCGAGTACCTCATGGTGCCCCATCTCCCCACTCAGCAAGACATCCACGTGTTCCCTTATCATACGAAACACACTGGAACCGCTCCCCGCGCAGATAGCCACCGAATGAACCGATGTGTTGCCGCTCCACCCATGCGGGAGCGACACACGAACAGTGGGAATGCGCAATCCGGTCTTTATGTCATTCACCAAAGTGGCCATTGTTTTTGGCTGATGAAGCGCCACGAGGCGGCCGATCCCTACGGATAACTCATCGTTATCATTTCCGCCGAAACCACCGTTGCCATGTCTATTCACACACTCACACGGCTGGATGGGACGGCACGCGCCGCTGCTGTCTACAATCGACGCAAGCCAGTCGTTGATGCCACCCTTCGCAGCATCCAACGAAGTGTGCGGCGAGTAGATGGATGCACCGTGACGCACCGTCTGTAAAATAATCTTTTGCTTCGGATCTGCCAGCGTGAGACGCTTAAACGCCGTGAAGATGGGCGGATGATATGCGACAATCACCTCAACATTATGTCGCAGGCACTCCTCCATCACCTCAGGGGTGAGATCAACGGTGAGGAGGACAATACCCGAGTTGTTGCTGTCCGGCGACTCCACAAGTAACCCAACATTGTCCCACGACTGGTCAGCAAGCCACAGTGGTGCAATCTCGCCCATTGCCACCATCACCCGCCTAATAAGAGAGGCCATCTGAACGGCTTTTAACGTCTCCCGTTAATCACTTTTTTGTTCTTGTTGTTGATGTTTTTAGTTTTTGTAAATTTATATTGCGTGCGTGAGATCTCTTGCGTTGTTTCTCTCCCTCTTCTTTTGTGCAGCCACGCATACATATGTATAAAAAGAAACAAGCACGCATCCCACGGTCGAAAGCAAAGTATGTGCAATCAAACAACACACCCCGCAGTATATAAAGTGATGCATGCCGCATAGTCGATGCGGTGTAAAAGTTAAAAAACACAGAAAAACTAAAAATGCCTTCTCAAGATAAATACAAAGCAACAACAACAACAATAATAACAATAATAATAGAAGGGAAAAAAAAAAGCAAAAAAAAATTAAATAATGAGAAGAACACATCATAACTCCCCTTTCACAATCAAAAGAGGACAACAACACCAACACCAGCCACAAAAAGAAAAAATAATCAAAAACAACTTCACACATGACTGGTGCCAACCAACTGGCGCACACCACATTCCTTGAAGATGTAGTTAACAAGGGCCAACGACGAAAATTTATCTGATAAAACGCCTCCATTGAAGAATCCCTCACAATCAATGAAAAAAAAAAGGTCACGAAGGCAGCACCACTCAAATGTTCCCTGAAATACAAGGCGTGGCCCATTTTGCAAAAACCGACGCCGACGATATCTACACCGACAGCGGTTCTGTACACTTGAAAAATCCTTTCCGCGCTGTACCACAATCCGTCCATCTCGCAGCTCAATGGACCACCACCAGCTACTTGTCTCAATAACAAGAAAATGATGGTTCCCTGAGAAAAGGCTGAAAGGAGCCCACGAGACCTCTGGCTCTGTGTAAACATGCACCCCAATGGTCTGCTCATCCAGCGACGGCTCCTCTTGCAGCCTCTCGAAAAGCTCCTCAGACGTCACAAAGCAAGATTGTTTTCCGCCATCGCTGCGAGCATCCTCGTCCGCAGAGAGGTCGAGGTAATGTTCAAGCCATCCCCTCTCACCAGTCTCTTGAGCATTCATGCACTAAAGAAAAAAAAAAAAAGAAAAAAAAAAAAAGCGCAAGAATAAACCTCGATTTCCGCCTCCGTCTCCCTCTCGCTCCCCAGTACTTATTTATTTTATAATTATTTTTTGTATTTTTTGTATTCGTCTCTCTCTCTCTTTTTTTTTTCTTTTTTTTTTTTTTTTTTTTGCCACTCCCTTGTTTATTTTGTTTCTTGTTGTCCTCAACCCACAAGACTGATGGAAAAGGACGGTCATACAGTCACAGCAATACATTAATTTAGCCACAGAGCATTCCAGCCGCACAACTGTTAGAACTCTCTTATTTTCCCCTCATCACACACAAATACATACATACACACGTATGTACTCTATCTTCCTTTTAGGTTTGTTTTTTTTTTCTCTTTTTGCTTTTTTTTTCTTTTAAAATGCCATTTGTAAGCATGTTTTCTTCCTTTCTTTCTTTCGCTTTTCTTTTTTAAAATTTGCTTTTTTCGGTTTCCAAGTTCATATTACCTCACGTATTTACGATGGGCGCTTGGAATCCAACCATCGATACATGTTGTGCTCTGGTAGCGATATTTCGTGCGGCTCACATGCCACTGGCGCGGAGGAAAACCAGCGGTGCCGCAGCAGCTCCTCAGCGGGCATTCTCCACTTTGGCTCTAGCTGGAGCATCTTATCCAACATGTCCACACTATCCCGGTCAATGTGCAACAGTTCACACCGGTGTGCCAAACGGCTTGGACGGTTCTGTTTGAACCGTATGAGAGAAGCAGCAGAGTGGCCGTAGTACAATGTGCTCTTCGACGAAGGAGAGCCCAGCCAGTCGGTAATGCCCGCTACCGCCTCCGCCTCGCTACGGGCGTTAATGAACATCTTTCCGCCAGACAACATCTCAAATAGAATGCAACCGCAGCACCACAAGTCAACGGAGGCGTCGTAGTTCACTGCGTGCTCCCCGCCAAGAAGGACTTCTGGTGGGCGGTAAGCCACAGGACACGGCGGTCCTGTCATTGGTCCACGCCACCGCGCAGGGCAAAAACGTGCCCAGCCAAAGTCAATGATCTTCACAACTCCCTTTTCATTAATCATAACGTTGGTTGGCTTCAAATCGCGATGAATGACCCGTTCCTTATGTAGATAGGCCAGCCCTGTGAGAAGCTGACGGAAGATACACTTAATGGTGGGAAGTGGCATGCGACCGGCACTTGGCTCCCCGCGGGGCCCGCCATTTCGCCAAAGCCGAATCAGCGAGACAAGATCATAAGCTATGACGGGCATCAACATGATAAGGGTTCCATCAGGAACGACATGATAGTCAAATAATTCAACAATATTCACATGCTTCAGTACGCGCAGCAGATTCATCTCCCGTGAGGTTGTGTTGCAAAGGCCCATGACACGTCTACCCGCGCCACGAAGCAGTTGCATGCGTTTCATTGTAAGGTGGGTTTGAGTCACGGTGTCAAAGACAATGTACACCTCTCCAAAGCTCCCTTGTCCTATTTTAACAATCCGCCTAAACCGTTCATTGAACGAGCGAACAATAGACTCGGAAACATCAACCGCATTTGCTTTCGGGCCTTCATTCTTCAAATGCACAAGCCCAAAAACGTAGCGCCGCACCGCATTTCTTTCAAACTCCTTCGCCTCCACCCCCAGTGTACCGTGCGGGGAGACGTCCCACTTGCCATTCGGCGTTCCCACCACACTATCGTCGCGGTCCCGCTTCATCTACTTCACTTCTTTCCAAACCGCATCCAAAAACCCCCTCCTGCTGACGTGAAACCACAAACAAAAGGCGAGAATCCGGTGAAAATGAGGCAAAAGGCCTGCGTGAACAAAAAAAAAAAGCAAAGAAAAGAAACACACACACACACGAAGAGAAAAAGAGAAAAAGTGGAAAAAAAAAATGGAAATAATGACAATAAAAAAAAAAGTCGACTCAAGGGGGTGCAGCGCACATTACAAAATTTCATATCGATCATTGGCACCCGAGAGTTCCGCCCTTTTGTTTCTTTTTTTTTTTTTTTTTTCGTTTTGTTTTGCTTTCATTTTAATTTATGGTGTTCTCTATATTTCTGCTTCGTTCCTTCGCACTCGTCGCATTGCCCGGCGGATGCAAGTATTACTCCTGCTGTCTGTTCCTCCTCCTCCCCCTCCTCCTTCTTGCCTCGTTCCGCCGTCCCAGCCGCCACCGCATCCGTCAATGCAAGAGCAGATACACGCATGCATGAGAGAAAAACAAAAATATAAAAAAAAATAATAATAATAATAATAATGAATGACCCTTTTCCTCCAACCCTGCCGTCTCTTTCTCTTCACTAATCAAAAAGGCCTCTTTTTTGTTTGTTGTTGTTTTTTGTGATTTTTTTTTTTGACCTTTTTGTTGTTGTTGTTGTTTTTTATTTGTCTTCTTCACTTTTGTTTTTTAATATTTTCGCCGTGTTCTTTCCCTGACGGCCCTCTCAAAATAAACAAAAGTAAATTGTCCTCCTCCCTCACCTTCACACAAACTGGAAAAACAAACACAGTGCGGGAGCGTCAACACTATTTTGGCTCTGTTTCCTCGGCGGATGGCACGTTATCAGCAAACTTCAGCATCTCCAGGCCCATCATGTATGGACGAAGCACATCTGGAATGACAACACCCTCCTCTGTCTGATAGTTCTCGCAGATGCAACACATCGTCCTCGTAATAGCGCACAATGTACCATTCAACATATGACAGTACTCCTTGACGTTGTTGGCCGACACGTTGCGCAAGTTTGGACCGAAGCGGCAATTCACCCCGCGCGCCTGATAGTCCGTGCAGTTAGAACACGATACCAACTCACGGAAGGCGCCTGATGCGGGGAACCATGCCTCAACATCATATTTCTTTGCCGCGGCGTTATTCAACGCACCAGAGCAAATGTTGATGGTGCGGTACGGCAGTCCAAGGCTCTCGCAGAATTCCTCGGAGGTGCGAATCATCTCCTCAAGATGCCGCCAGGACTCCTCCTCCCGTGGGGAACACACCAGAAATTGTTCCAACTTGTCAAACTGATGTACACGGAAGATACCGAGCGTGTCACGGCCGTGAGCGCCGGCCTCCTTCCGGAAGCAACTCGACATTCCAGCGTACTTCAACGGCTCCTTCAGCTCCGTGAACCATTTACCCCGGTGGTACGCCGCAATAGGCATCTCGCTCGTGGCAATCAAATACTTTTCCTCACCGTCACCCGTTACTTT